TTGAAAATGTGTGGATAAATCACCTGCTGGACGGCCCTCCCTTAGCAGATTCCAGTCCGGGCACCTTTGGGAGATCATGGATAGAAAAGGGGGTCATCCAAATGAAAGATATTTGGGACCCCCTCACGGAGGACTGGCTCTCATTTGAAGCCCTCTGGGCAAAACTCCCAAGACTGCACAACTTAAATACTAAGTACACCAAGATCTTGGGAAGCATCCCACCCCACTGGTCTTCCGCTCTCAAGCCAGAGACAGAGTATGCACCAGGCTCATGGTTAAGGGATCCAGATGTTAGCGACAGGATCTGGAAAGTCATGGGGCCGGACCTAAGACCTGGCACGAAAATCCAAGTCTGGCAAGTAAAGCCGAGCAAAAGGCAGGAAAAGCAAATGTAATTCATTGACGAGACCCTCACACCCTCCACAGCAGACTGTGAAGAGGTAAGAGTTCTAGAATCTGTACAAAACAACAGACAGGCATGCACCCTTCTTCCAATGAGAGCGGAAAGTCTGAAAGTAGAACCACTCCTCATTGGATGGAGAAATTGTTGCCAGGAACCAGGCCCCAGCGCCAGAAACTTAGGCGAGCTCACCCCCTTATACAAGTACACACCCAAGTGCAGGGTGAAAGTCTAACGGGACAGGATTAAAAAGAAACCTATTTTTACAGCAAGGAAACGAGCTCCTTTATCACAAAGCCCTATGATTTCAGATAAGAACATGAGAGATCTCTGGATTCTGCTGAAGAAACTCCCCTCACAGAGAATAGCTTCTCTCCTTTGGCTACAATCCCTTCAAGTAACAGCAACTGCAGTCTGGCTGAGGGCCAGAGGAATGCAAGTACCAGACTCATGCATGAGATGCAACTGGACGTGAGAAAATGCCTCCCACTTATGGAGATTCTGTCCAAATTCAGAGCCCTGCTGGGAATGGTGGAAAGAAAGGTGGAGGCTCTTGGGCCTCCCACCAGATATCTGGTCAGATGCCTTCATCCTTCATGGAAAGCTCGGAACCTCTGTGCCCCATTCGAAGACAACAGTATACATAGCACGCACTTGCAGGGGCATTGTACTCGAAGCAATATGGCGTCACAAAAATGAGCTCCTATTCAAGGGTGAGGGAAACGACCTCAAACACTCTTTCAACCGCATATTGGCAGAAATTCGGACCACAGTCTTCAGTGAATGGAAACCCAAAGGCCCACTCCGTGTGAGTAAGACGTGGGCACTGGGCGACAGATTTGCTAGTATCAACAGCGGAGGTAAATTAGAAATTGCTGAGTGGCTGTTGAAAGTGTAAGCCACAGTAGACAGTATCTTTTGATTAAGAGACAGTCTGACTCGTGGTTTCCTACGTCCCGCAGGAGGGACCCTACTTCTTTCCTCCGGCTGTTCCTTTATCTCCTTTTATCCTTAGTTAGTCCAGTTGCTGTTTATTTTCTTGCCGAAAGAGGCTTTATGGGACGCTGGACCCGGTTTCCAGCACAAGCCTAAGCTGGGTATTGGCCCCAGTTTTTCCTCCGGGTTGAAATGTCGAGGTTTTCCCGGCCTCAATTTATGATTTGGAAATAAAGTTTAATAAACCTATCTTTCTCAAAAAAAAGAAAAACTCTGGGCGTCATATTCAACTATCACATCAGGGACCACACAGCCTCAGTAATATCGCAGACGCTCAACAGAAGACTTTATCCCCAAGATGCTCAAACTTCACGCCTATCATTTTTCTATTACATAGAAATTTTATAATGGAAATATATCTCATATGCCCATGACCGTGAGCCGTACTCCTCTCTCTCTCTCTCTCTCTCTCTCTCTCTCTCTCTCTCTCTCTCTCTCTCTCTCACACACACACACACACACACACACACACACAC